GTCTACTACGTAATTATTACAACACATTCTTAATAACTGATAATTCAAAATAAATTTTCTATGACATTTCCCCTTAAAATACAGAACTCATCAGTCGCAGTTTCTTACACAAAAACATGACAATTAACGTATACATACGCATGTATTTGGCCACCAAAAAATAAATCGAACCGTTTAACGTCTAAGCACGTATTTGAATAAACACGTGTGACCCACTGATGCATGTGTATATGTGTGTATTTTCGTCTAATTGATAACGCGAATTGGAAGTGAGTTTTGTCCGACATGTGTCTAAAAGACGACATGATAATATGAAAAACAATAAACTCTGATACCTTGATATCTGGATTGTTAATACGACGTTAAAATATATTGGGCTCTAATTTGTCCATAATTACTCATGCCTCAAAATAATATTTGTTTATATGTATGTTTGTGTTAAGTTTCTTATTTAAAGTATATTTTTCTATTGCACAATTTAATAAAAACGACATTAAATTTCGTTGGTTTTTTTTTCGGTAGATACAATTTCTATTTGTTTATAAATTGTACATTTAAACTTATTTACTGTTGGGCTTTAACAAAAATAATTGTATATCAATTTATGAAAAAATGTATTTCTAAAAAATGATTCATTTTAAATGTTTATCTTAAAAAAGCTCATTTCTAAAAACGTAATTTATAAAGAATGTTAAAAAAACAAATATATTTCCTTAAGTTCTAAGGGATCCTGGCATTCATACTGTAAATCTTAAATAAAAAGATCACTTGTTTATGTTCCAAAGTCCTGTCAAATTATCAGTTTATGAAATCAAAGTTTCCTTTTGGAGAAAAAACTATGTTTGGATAATCTCTTATGAATTTTTAAACCAATATTTTAATTAAATTAACAAATAAATTAATTACTTCTGGTTATTACATGAATTTTTAAGAGAAACTTTAAAACAAGTTTTTTTTGTACATAGAATTAACTCGATGATTTAATATTAGAATTTAATTTAAAAAGTTGACATGAAAACATAAACTTGTCTTATTAGAAAATTGCAAATAAAAACAAAACTGGTTAAATAAATTATAATCACAAATATGTCTACATATAAGGAAAACTAATAAATACACTCTTAAATTGCTAAATTATTTAAGAATTATTTATTATAGCTAAAAGAACTGTAAGCTGTTTTCCTAAAAGGACCTGGGTTCAGAATTTTCTTGACCAAATAATTAAGAAATACATACATATGTACACCAATGTACAAAGCAGGCATGGAAAATTTAAATTTTGAAATTGTAATAACTTATATAGAAAATAGTACTTTTCTAGGTTTTAAAGTACTATAGTCTAGTCTATAGTCCAGTCTATAGTCTAGTCTATAGTCTAGTCTATAGTTAGTCTAGTAGTCATAGTCTAGTCTATAGTCTAGTCTATAGTCTAGTCTATAGTCTAGTCTATAGTCTAGTCTATAGTCTAGTCTATAGTCTAGTCTATAGTCTAGTCTATAGTCTAGTCTATAGTCTAGTCTATAGTCTAGTCTATAGTCTAGTCTATAGTCTAGTCTATAGTCTAGTCTATAGTCTAGTCTATAGTCTAGTCTATAGTCTAGTCTATAGTCTAGTCTATAGTCTAGTCTAGTCTATAGTCTAGTCTATAGTCTAGTCTATAGTCTAGTCTATAGTCTAGTCTATAGTCTAGTCTATAGTCTAGTCTAGTCTATAGTCTAGTCTAATCTATAGTCTAGTCTATAGTCTGGTATAGTCTATAATCTAGTCTGTAGTCTAGCCTATAGTTTATTCTATAGTCTAGCCTATAGTTTATTCTATAGTCTAGTCTATAGTCAAGTCTATTTTATAGTTTAGATTATAGTCAAGTCTAGTTTATAGTCTAGTCTTTAGTCAAGTCTAGCCTATAAGTTCAAAAAGAACCGAATAAGTCGTATTTTTCGATATCGAAAAGTACTGGAATAAAGTACTAAATTTTCCATGGCTGCTACATAGTATTATTCTAATAAAGGGATAAATAAGGTCTAGGTGCTATTTATAATGCTTCGATATTTCTTTAAGCGGCATATTTATGATAACCTCAAGGAGATTTATTGCAAAATTCATCCAGATACTAGTATCTATACGTTAAAGGCATTTTCAGAAGAAAGTCTTATATGAGGCCTAGGATCAAATATACTTAGTCTGATTTTCCCCCCAACTTTACAGTATATTTTCGGCCCCATAAATATTGAACTTTACCAGGAAAGAATATTCCCAGCTGACGTTCGTATGGAACATAGGTAAAAACTTGGAACGATTACAACCAAAGTGAATGTGATTCATCCTTTCGTGGAATTATTTTTGAAGTTTAACTTTTACGTAATAATATCAACACGTTCTTAATGCCTGATAACTCAACGGGTTTAGTGTGACGATGCCTCACACTAAACCCTCACACTTATGTGATCAACAAAATAAATCGAGACAGTTTTACGTCTAAGCACGTATTGAAATAAACACGTGGGCGATTTACTGGTACATGTGTATATCGTCTAAGTCAGATATCAAAAAATTGAATAATATTTGTAATTTGATTACAGACAGGGTAGACTAACAGACGACGATAGTCGGATTTAAAGTTTTTTAATTTGTATTTGTGAAAAGTGAGTTTAGACTATTCGAATATTGTTATAGAACCCGATCGAGATCATGTTAAATTGAACGCTATTTTGTCTGAACAAAAAAAATCTAGTACATTTTAATAAAATTTTGATTTGGTAATTTGTTTTCGTTACGAAAATCAATTCGATCTAGAATGCGGCAATTCGGCCAATGTTTTATTTAAATTTTGGTTCAGTGTAATATTCACATAGAACGTATTTGCAAAATACATACATATTTATTTATGTATAAAAAATATATGTATATAATATATAGTGAGCATACAGTAGAACGCAGTAAGAACTAAACAAAAAATCAATCTAATTAACCATTACCAGTGGACATCTCAAAAAACTATTTTATTCTAGACATTGTCAATCAATCCTGGCATAGTAGAATGGAATTCAAAGTATCAAAGGCCTTATGGCCATGACTTGTTGTAAAAGCTAACATGATACTTATTGATCTAGATAGATGCAGTCTAAGGATACTGAAAGGGTCCATAATGGGATATTTTTCTATTAGAGATTTTGATGGTAAGTGGTGAGAGTACTTTGAGAAACTAGAGACGGTTGGGATCACCATTGTCTAGAATACAAGGCCCTAAGCTGAAAGGACTGGGAAATAGCTTTTCGTTGAAATGGGGGATATTACAGTTTACTTGGTTTCAGCAGGGGAATTTTCGAATGTAGACTATAGTAAGGATTCTGATCATCTATCATAAGCCTCAGTCTAGTTCCAGTCCTTTCTATTTTTGTTCTCTGTGAAGTATTAATGAATCTTTAATCTTTATTCGTTACATTCTACGAAGGGAATAACATATTCCCCGAGTGTAGTTTCAACTTTTTGACCTAAATTTAAACGGCTTAGATTTCTAAATTAACTTGAAAATGTACTGAGCAGAATTTTGCATGTTACCTTGATGAAAGACTCTGATCTTGAGGTTATTGCAATCCCGCTACCAGTACCTATAGTCTACCGGGACTATAAACTGGTGATGATAAAATATACCCTCGGCCTTTCCATGCAATGGTTTGTCATGGGATCGAACCAGAGAACAACATAATCTGGTACCACGGGAAGCAGGTCAGAATTTTGGAATTTGTCTTGTCCCAGTTATTGGAAAGGTCTATTCGGTTCGGTAATTTTGCCAAGACAACAGATACAAAGGAGTGACTGTAAGACTAAAAGTTGGGAATGAGTTGGTGTTAAGCTTATATGATACGGCATGAATGTAGAGGTATGCGGACCTTTCCCACCCGTATATCTAGAGTGAGTGTGTCGGATGTTGTTCTCTATGAATGTTTCGAATGAATGAGAAGTGTGCTGTGTTAAATGGTGATGAATGTTTTTGCATCTCGGAAGTTAAACAACGGGGCATCAATGGTCGGAGATTATATAGCTATTGGGTGGAGAGTCGTCACAGAAGCTTACCCTGTGGTTGAAAAAGACCATCGTGAAATACACATTCACCCTCATCTTTATGATATTGAAATCCTGGGGAATTGAGGTGCTGCCAGTAACTCAAGTCTGCCGGGAATACAAACTCCTAATGATGTTGCTATATAAACAATTCATTTTAGCCCTGTTCGCCTGTTATGTTTATGTATGTGTTTACGTTGTAAAATAAATGTTTCATGCTTAATTACAAACATGTGTATAGAAAAATTTTAACATTTCATTTTTTTTCTTAAATAGTGTCTAAGATCAATGGAAAATTTCTAACTGTAATATGCTCTGTTGTATATAACTGTTGCTATATACATACATATTTATGCAAGCAGTATAATTCTCTAGCTATTTTGGGAAGAATTTTTGCGTAGCATTTTTGTTTTGTCACCAACAATTAAATATTGTAGTTTGTAAAATGAAAAGCATGTCGTTGTCATAGAATTAACCATATTTAGTTAAGACAAGTAAATGATTAGTGGTGATGATTAAAATGTTGTCAACTTGTAAATAATATAAAATGTAAAAAAAAAATTATAGATAGACAGACAGACAGAGAGACAAAACGTATGTGTGCATAATAAATCTTAAAAATAACAAATAATTGACAATTAAATGGGATAACAGTGGGGGATAAATGTTCTTTAAAACTTCCTAGTAAAAAAAAAACTATAAATTAATTATTAAACAATAACTTTAACTTAATAAATAAAACGTATAACAAGCCAATGTTTTAAAATTCTTGAAACCATTTATAAACTTTTGTTACTCACTGTATTGTTGTAATACATATTTTAGTGTTTCAGCGTTTCAGTTCCAGAAATGTTGAAAATTTATATATTTTAATGTGTCAGGCATCAGGTTGTCATATCATTCATACCATAATTAGAAAACATTTTAAACACCGTTTGTTTTTTTTTTGATTTTTTCTAATGACATTCAGTATTTTATTACATGTTTACAGTTACAGTTTTACAGTTACAATAACACTTATGAATAGTTTAGTTAATTGTAGAAGTAGTTGTTGTAAAAGTTCATAATCGTATTGTAGTTTGTTTTTTTAGTTACAGTTGCAGAGAGATTTACATACTTTTTTCTTTTATTTCATTTTTTGTTTTTTTAAATAAGTCTATACAATTTTTCTATAATAATTGCATTATTACCTTCATTGTTATTTAATATTTTTGATATTATACATTTATTAATAATTATAATTATAATGTTTTATAATATGATATACATACAAATATATTACGTCTTCTTTTTGTGTGTGTGTATTTTTGGAATGTTTTAATTTAGTTTTGTGTCTGTTCTTTTTAAAAATTGTTGTTGTTTGATGGCTAATATAAAAAAAACAACAAGAGTCATGGTCAAGTTATTGATAATTTATGTAATATATGTACTTGTCGTTAAACTTATTAAACATTATCAATTTCATTTTAATTTGTTTGCCATCCTACTAAGCGTTATCATTTTGTTGTCATGATCATTATCGTTTTTTTATCTTTATGATTTTGTTGATATTTGTGTGTTTTTTTCAATTTAATTTAAAATTTTCTTTTTTTTTTTTTTGTTTAAATTATTATTTTGTTGCACTTGTCCCTAATATTGTGATGTTTATAACAATTGTTTGTTTTGTAAAAATAAAAATATATAAAGCTTTGTTTGTGGGGGTTTTCTTTTTCCTTTTTTTTCATTTGTGTTTTGAGTTTCATTTCCTGTTTTTTTCTTTTTTGAACATTTTTACAAAGTGCTCGCTTCGATATGTGGTATATTGTTGAGGCCAACATCGGGATTGCTCCAATAAAACATTGGCGGTCCTTGACTAAAGCAATATTTCATTTTTAAAGGTTCATCGTTTTCCACGTAGTACATTAAGTAGAAATTACACATTTCATCTTTATTTGTGGCGCTGTAATCAAAAATCAATTTATTTTTAATTTTTTTCTCTCTTAAAGTTTTAAGGGGCTCATGTCCGTGTTTTCTCTAGTCCTACTTATTGCATTTATATTTACAAATATACTTACCAAAGTGTATTTAGTCTGTTGTTATCTTTTTTTTAATAAGTCCATTCAATTCTAATAATAAAAACACTAGTTTCACAAAAATACTAAAAATAATACAATTAAACTTAGGTTTTACCCAAAAAAAAGATACAAATTCAACAAAAAAAAAAGTCTTTAATAAACAATAATATAAATTTTACTCTGTTTTTAAATTATAATGTTAGATATCATAGTCTAGACCACAGACTATAGCAAAGACGTGTATTGTCATAAACTGAATAACTAAATATAACATCTATACAAGATGGAAGACAAGAATAGGTTATATCCTAGATCTAAGACTAGACCATAGATTACAGATCAGTCAAGGTATTAGAATAAACAACAGACCAAACATATACCATGATGCAGATCACATACTAGAACACAAACTAAATCGGAGACTATGTTTCATACTCGATCACAAACTATATTAGAGACAAGTCTATAAAATAGATCAAACTATAGGTTATAAACTATACTATAGATTTGATCAACGATCAGACTAGCTTATAGAATAGACAACAGATTAAACTAAAGAGTAGATCACAGACAAGAAAGTATAATATAACATAATGTAGTACAAGACCATTGTCATTGAATAGATCAAAGAAAATACTCTAGACAAGAAGAAACTAAAACTCAGACTAAATCTGAGATTAATTGTCATACTCGATCACTGCCATGAGTAGGGATAAGTCTAAGAAGTAGATCAGAGAATAGATTACAAAGTATACTGCAGACTAGATCGCTAGATCACAAACAAGATCAAACATTAGATCATTAGACAAAACTATAGACTAAACCGTTGATAAAGACTACATGAGAGACAACATAATCATTAGACTATATCAAAGACTGTAGACTTATACAAGGCAATTAGATCATAGAATATACTACAGACTAGTACATAGACTAGTCAAATATAGAATGATCTATAGTCATAACTATAATCCAGATTATAGGCCGATAGATTATCGAGACTATACAAAGATCTACAGTAAAGTCTGTAGACCAATTTATAGTATGACTGATATCTAGACTAAGAGCTAGACTAGACAAAGAACTAAACTACAGAAAGTCAAAACGATAAAATGATCTATATTCAAGATTACAAATTGATCGATTGTTGAAACTTTAGACATATTATATTCTGAATCAGTATTACTGATCAATAGTCAAGACTTTAGACAGATCTATAGTGCAGACAATTGACTGAACTACAGTTAAAACTATTGACTTATCTACAGTTAAGATTATAGATAGATCAATTGTCGAGATTATTGACTGCTTCATAGTCAAGAATATACAATGATCTATTGTTAGGACTATTAAGTTATTAATAGTCAAGATTACTGTTCGATCTACAGGCAAGATTAAACAATGCTCTATATTCAAGATTATCTTTTAATCGATAATCAAGACTTTAAACGAATTATAGATTGATATAAAGAAATATTTTCGGATCTATAGTTAAAACTATTGATTGATCTAGAGTTAAGATTATATATTGATCGAGTGTTGAGATTATAATCAGATTTTAGTCAAAAATATAGGATGATCTACAGTTAGGATTACAAAGAGTAAATTCATTAAATTCATTTAAAACTACTGATAGATAACATCAATAATTAAACCCTACATTAGAGTACAGACACGATCATAAACTACACAAATAATATTCAAAATGATCTGATTCAACCAAAAAATTATAAAAATTAAACAAAAAATTATATAATTCTTGAAAATAAAGTTATTTAAACAACAATTTTTAGTCAAATAGAATATCTGCAACATTGCCACATCCTATTCAGTCAAACCCCTTTAATTAAAATTTTCTCACACTCACCCAGTTTCCGTAACACGTTTACGATGACTCTCCATTGTACAGCGAGCCGCTATAATATCACCCTTAATAATAGGTTCTGAATTTTCCACTGGATAAAACATTTGTGGTGTCAATGGATCACGTTTCCCCAGTAAAGTCCAATGATGCATGCCCTGATCATCGGGACGTACTCTATAGCCGGAAACAACTTTACCCAAACTGTGTGTATGTGTACGATATGCAATGGGATGAATAGTTTTATTCTCATTAATTTCACAAGAAGTTTCCATATGTTCAATGGACATGGGTGGTATAACACCAGCGGTACCCATCAATAAAACACCAGCCAATTTGTCCATGCTGTAATTAAAACAATTGAAAAATTAAATTATGAAAACTTACTTATTAACTCAAATAAAACTTACGGTTTTTCGGTGTATCTGATAAAAACACCAGAGTCATCAGTGCTGCCATCTGTAGTAAAAGTTTAAGTATAAATTTAGCATAAAAGTTTTATAGTTTCATAAAATTATCCTGCTTACCCTGAAACTTTTTAATGCTGGCATAATGTACCTGCAGTACAATATATTTAATGGGAGAATCATTGCCAACTTTAAAGCCCACACCTTCGGGCAATTCTAATTTGGGTGCATCTCTAGCCCAGGCATAGAGAATCTGTTAAAATGGGAATAACATTAATACTTTACTAATATTTAAAGTAATCTAAAAGAAATTACTTGAGAATGTGATTGTAAACCACAAGGACTAGGTTTTTCTTCATTAGTCGTTTTAGCCATTTCACCACAATCCCTATAAATAATTAAATTAAAAAGTGTTATTCATAAAGAATTAAAATAAATGAAATTAAAATGACGTTAATTAAAAAATTAAAAAAATAAATGATAAAGAGTGAAGCAATATTTATTATTCTCTCGATGTTTATAATAAATTATAAAAATATTCTTAAACTCATATTTAAAACAAGATATTCCAAATCAGTTTTTTTTTTTTTGATAGTAGAAAGCATAAATTATGGATCTATTATCCTTATTCCTTACCACACAGTTTTCCTAGACCCAGGCTCGCCGCAACCATATAAAAGCATATGATGGGCCGTATTCATTGTGGCATTCGGTTCATAACCCACTAAATTGATAAGTTTGCAAAATAATAAGAAAAAAACAAAAATATATTAATAAATTGTAGATAAGTTTTTTTTTATTAAAATGTCTATAAATAAAAAAATACATGATTTTATCAGCACTCACCAATGTAATAACTTTTTGTGGAATCCACCTTTATCGGTGTACAAAGATATAATTCAGGCTAAAAGAAAGATAATCCAAAAATAGATGTTTTAAGTATGAAAATTAATAGCAAAATATTAATATAAAAAATCCTTATATAAAACCAAGATAAGTTTTAGGCTAGATATTAAATTAAAAAATATGCGCTATAAAGCTAAAAAAATAATACGTTTTAATTAAAAAAAGAAGAAATTGGAAATATAAATTTTGATAAAAAACAGAGTGGGATTTACATTAATATAAAAAATTGTACTAATTGTTTTATTATTATTATAGATATTCAATTAAACTTTACAATAGAACTTTTCTGAACTAGAACTGTACTAGAACTGAACTTGAACTGAACTAGAACTGAATTAGAACTGAACTAGAACTGAACTAGAACTGAACTAGAACTGAACTAGAACTGAACTAGAACTGAACTAGAACTGAACTAGAACTGAACTAGAACTGAACTAGAACTGAACTAGAACTGAACTAGAACTGAACTAGAACTGAACTAGAACTGAACTAGAACTGAACTAGAACTGAACTAGAACTGAACTAGAACTGAACTAGAACTGACCTAGAACTGAACTAGAACTGAACTAGAACTGAACTAGAACTGAACTAGAACTGAACTAAAACTGAACTAGAACTGAACTAGAACTGAACTAGAACTGAACTAGAACTAACTAGAACTGAACTAGAACTGAACTAGAACTGAACTAGAACTGAACTAGAACTGAACTAGAACTGAACTAGAACTGAACTAGAACTGAACTAGAACTGAACTAGAACTGAACTAGAACTGAACTAGAACTGAACTAGAACTGAACTAGAACTGAACTAGAACTGAACTAGAACTGAACTAGAACTGAACTAGAACTGAACTAGAACTGAACTAGAACTGAACTAGAACTGAACTAGAACTGAACTAGAACTGAACTAGAACTGAACTAGAACTGAACTAGAACTGAACCAGAACTGAACTAGAACTGAACAGAACTGAACTAGAACTGAACTAGAACTGAACTAGAACTGAACTAGAACTGAACTAGAACTGAACTAGAACTGAACTAGAACTGAACTAGAACTGAACTAGAACTGAACTAAAACTGAACAAGAACTGAACTAGAACTGAACTAGAACTGAACTAGAACTGAACTAGAATTGAACTAGAACTGAACTGAACTAGAACTGAACTAGAACCGAACTAGAACCGAACTAGAACTGAACTAGAACTGAACTAGAACTGAACTAGAACTGAACTAGAACTGAACTAGAACTGAACTAGAACTGAACTAGAACTAAACTAGAACTGAACTAGAACTGAACTAGAACTGAACTAGAACTGAACTAGAACTGAACTAGAACTGAACTGAACAATTTTTTAATAAAAAATTAAATTTTGAATAAATAATCTAATTTCTAATGAATCTCTTCGAAACAATTGAATTTTTAATGAAATATAATTTTTTTGGCAAAATTTTTTTAAAAAATCTAGTTAAAACATTTATTATTTTCTATAATTTGTTTTTTTTTTATGTATATTTTTATATCTAATGAATTTTTTCTAAAAAATGGAAATTTTTAGTGAAAAATAATTAAAAAAAAAAAAAATAATTTTTAGTACTTAATAAAAATGTTTGGGTAAAATAGAAATTTTTAGCGAAAAATCAAATTTTTTGTGAAAAATCTAAATTTTTTGTGAAAAATCTAAATTTTTAGTGAAAACTCGAATTTTTGAAAAATCTATTTTTTTAACGCAAAATCATTTTTTTTCAAAAATCGAAATTTGTAGTGAAAAACAGAATTTTTAGTAAAAATGTTTATAGAAAAATCTATTTTCTTAACAAATCAAGTTTTTTGCGAGTAATCGAAATTTGTAGCGAAAACTAAAATTTTTGGTCAAATAGCTCCAATCGAATAAATAAAGTCGAAATTGCCTTTCTTATAGCAAAGTAATATAAGTCTGTTGGTAAAATAAATCTTTCAAACCTCTGTCATGGATAGCTTCGTAGTAGCTTTCTCAGTAAAAATATGTAAATTATTGTTGTTTTTTTTTTTCATTAAATTCATTATTACTCAATACTCAAGACATTACCAGCACTTTTTCCAATTTCAATTAGTCGGTTACGTTAAGCAAATTCTTATTATTTCTGAATTAATTAAAACCAAGTGAGTGCCGCAAATAATAAAAATTCCCCTTTTTAAAAGAATATAAACTTGCAAAAACATGTTTTTTTGCAAAGACAAACAAAACTACGAATTACTCTTTAATAAATATCATTAGAAATCACTCCGATTAAAATTGTAATCTCTACAAGGTCAAACAAAATCATCTCAACAAATAAATAAATAAATAAATAAATAAATAAATAAATAAGTATTTATGTATAAACAAATTTTTAAATAAATTAAAGATGTTGTTATTAAAAAAACCCAAAAATTTAAAAAAAAAATTAAAACCCCTGACACGAGTGTAGACAGAGTCCGGCAGGTACACAAAAAAAAATAAGAAACAGGTAGAAGTAGCAAATAACTTAGGAGAGGGTAGTAGGCAAGACGAACGAGTAGGTGTTGTGTTTCAATTTTTTGGTACTTTTGTTTGTATAATTGTTTTTTAAACAAATACTTTACACAAAGTACACAATTGTAGGTTTAATAAAATTGAAAAGAAAATAAAAATAAAACTGTGTTCCGTATAGAAAATAACTGAAAAAAGAAACTGCCACCTGTTAAAATTTTCATATTGACGTAGCAGCAAATTTCCTACACGTCTACAAAAAAATCCTTTAAAATTTTCCATTGTGCTAAAAAACCCTGTATGAAATTCACCTGACACTTACCGTTTTTGGTCTAACATTTGGCATTAGAAATGGAAAACGTCCCACTTCATGATTTTGCTCCGCCTGCAATTGGGAATTGTAGATACTGTTGTATTCATCGTCATCTATGATTCCATATGTTAATTTTAGCCAAACAATAAGTACAAACGTTAACACTTGTAGCCTCTTCTTTAAAGCCATCCCTGAGTAAACTTTTAACATTTTTTTCTGTTGTTGTTGTCTGAGTTATTGATTAAAACACTTTTAATTTTATTTGTTTATATTTTTAAATCTTTCTTTTAACTAAAAAAACAATAACAACTATTGTGTGGGGAATTTTAGTCGGTGCTTTTTCTTTATTTTTATAAATACTTGTTAAAAATTTACTTCTACTTAAAAAAAAATGTATTTATTGTTCTTGTTTTGTGTGCGCCAAAAATGATAATGACGATGTTTTCATCTCTGGGAACAGAGTGAAAAAAGTAAAATCTTGTGAGAGAACAACATGAGATATGAAACACTGTTGTTTATTTTTGTTATTACACACAGTGTTTTGGGTAAAAAAAAAAAATCAATATGGCTGCTGACGTATACAGTAAAAAGTATAGGGAAACAGCTGTTTATATACTAACGGTATGTGGGTTGAGTTGTAAAAATACATTCCGATATAGAAATATTATGTTTATACGTTTCCGTTAAGAAATGTTTCCTGTTTTGGAGGTTAAAATATTTTGTTTCAAGGATTGCATACTATGGACCAACAAAATGTGGAAAAAGTTGTAACCTAGAGACCAAAATTTACTTTATTAAAGGATTAAGCTGTCCTGAATTTGAATCTGGCATCAGAATTTCTTCCTTGCGTCAGATTTTCGAGATATAATGTAATAAAGTTTGAGAAAACCTTGTTTTTGACCATCAACACACGATATCTCAGCAAATATCAGAGATTTTTAAACACTTCAAAAGGAATTTGTATGGAAAAGATTAGGAAAAATGATGTTCTAAAAGTATGTCGTAAAATAACAGCGAAATGTAGTAAAAAATTATGTTTTAGTTAGTTTATGGCTGTTTCCAACTTTAGGTTAAAATATCTCGAAAATGAAGAATGTTATATAAAAAGTTTAGACTTTATTTTAAAGTGAACAAACAGGACTTCCAATAAAGATGCATTCGCACTATTATAACGTCTTCAATATGACCAAAATCTTTAAAACTATACTTTTAACTTTCATTCTGTTATTAACCCGCTAATTAATCCTTAAATAAATCTCTAATATAATTAGTTTTTTCTTTAATTTTATATTTATTAAATAAATATACAACTTTGTTCTTTTTTTTAATATAAATTTATGTTGAATTTTCTATAAATATTAAAAAAAATCTAATAATAGTAATAAATTTGCAACCAATTTTTTTAAAATATTTAAAATTTTTTGATTTTCTATACAATTTTTTTATTTATTTTTTTTTTGTTTGTAAATAAGTCGTTTCGTATTATGAGTTTTTTTTTAATAAAATATGTTTTGTTCGTTATTAAGTTTACAATGAGTGGATCTTGAAATGTTTGCTTTTTTTTTATTTTTTTCGCAAATGATGAAGATGTTATTATTGAATCTAAATAAATAATGCATTTTTTTGTTGTTTAATAGGTGGTAAATAATTCCTCTTGTATGCTGTTAGATCTTAAAAGCTGAGAGGGAGTGGGTCCACCTTCAAAGTTAATTTTAGGAGCAGCTTTAGCAGACTTTTGAGAGTGATATTCATCAGAGAATTCCTAAAAAAAAGAACAATAGTTGACTTATCTAGTATTAAATGTTTAAAGAAAGTGTAGAATTTACCTTGAGACGATTGCCTAAGAAGTGAGCTCTTTCACGTTTCTTAACCATATAATCGGAAGCCATAAGCCATCTGTGTTCTTGACAGTCTTCGGTGTAGGGACGTTTTCTTTAAAAGACAAAAAGTATGAGTTAATTTTTGTTTCAAAATTACAAAATATACACTATAGTTTTAGTCAGATTTGTAGGGTTTTCAGTTTTGTATCTGTTGCTAAAGGTTTTAATATAACTGTAAATCTGACTAATTTCGAAAACAATAATAATCAAAAACTTACTGTGGATGACGTTTGAACAAGAACATAATAAATCTGGTGGCTTCAGGTGTCACTTCACCAAATAGATTTTCAAATCTATAACGTACAAATGTGATGTTCTGTTTGGTCTCATATTCATCGGCACCACGGAAGGGACTTGTACCGGACAACAACAAATAGGTTAAAACACCTACTGACCAAATATCCGATTGTGGGAATACCGGTTCCTCCATAACCATTTCAGGAGATTGGAAGTCCAACATGCCGCATGGTCTAACTTGAACACCCAATTTGTTGACCTTCTTGGTGCAACCAAAATCGATCAATTTAATTTGTATCGAACGGACAGAGGCCATAACAACATTGTCGGGTTGAATGTTCAAGTGGCAGAAACCGCGCCAGTGCAAATATTGTAAAGCATCCAAGAGTTGTACAATAACTGTGGCCACCATTTGTTCGGTGTATTGGTGACGACTGCTGAAGTAGGTCAAAACATCGGCACCTTGCAATTTCTCCATAATGAAAATGGCAATGGGAACATTAAGAGGCTTGTAGGCGGCAAACAAGGCAGGAATACGTTCATGTCTTAATGTCTTGAAGTTATCAAATTCAGCTACAATATCCTCCTCATTCTCATCGCTGACTTCGAAGATCTTGGCTACTACAACGGCATCCGATGACTTTTGTATGCCCTTAACAATAGTGCTGAATTCACCACGAGCGATTTCCGAAATGAAACTATATTTTTCATTGACCGAATGATCGGTTACCCAGTTGGGAGGTTCACGTTCACAATGGTAATCGGTGTGGACGCGTTCTTCTTCGGGCAAAACAACATGTCCATTTTCGGTAAGTTGTTGCAAATGTTTCATGGCTTTGGTAATATGAATCTTAGGAGCATCCATGCCACTGGTGGCACCAGTAATAGGAATGCCCATTTCACTCCAGCCAATGCGGTTTCTAGAAGCTAATCTAAATTGGTATTGAGTGTTGGGTTGAAGATCGTGCACCAAATAGAATTCGTGATCGATATTGTCGGCAATGTTAATCCAGGCATCTCCATCTAAGCGTTTGTATTCCAAGCTATAACACAACACGGAAGTGTGACCATCATCACGTGGCTGTTTCCAGCGCAACAAGATTTCACTGCCACTGGCAGCCGAAATTTCGGGAGAATCAGGAGCATCGGGCAAGGTAGCAATTACCACACGACATCTAGCTACAGTTTGGCCTACCTTGTTGCGAGCTACAGCCTTATAGACACCAACATCAAATTGCATGGCGGGCTCGAAACGCAAAATAGAACGACCATCTTCATCGGTGTGGAATTTAATACGATTATTTTCAATCAAAACCATATCATTCTTAAACCACTGAACATTGGGTTTAGGATCACCAACAGCAAAGCAATGAACATGGGCCGGTTGTCCCTCAGTAATGGCTAAAGCCTGAGGCTTTTCTCTAAAGAAGGGAGGATAGCCTTCACGTCTGCATTCAATCATAGCTTCGGCTTCGGTGTATTCATCCAATCGAGGACCCAATTCGGTACGCAATCTACGAATGGTGTAAGAGTCCTGAGCAGTATAGGTGCTAATGCGGCTGCGAGTACGTTCATCATCTATTTCTTCATCCATAATATCGGTGAAACGACGACGTTCACGAATGATGGGCAAAGACCAATCTAAGCTTTCGTTCATGGCAAACGAAGGTGATCTTCTGTGGGCCACCTTCATGTATTCGCGCAAACGAACGGGGAAGTTAACATCACGCAATTGCAACAAATAGGTATCAGGACCATATTGGTAGCTGAAAATTATTAATATTTTATAATATTCATAAATTCTTGAAATATTTCTTAAAGAAGATTCTAACTACTTACTGGCTTTCGGATTGAATAATACCCAATTCGTATTCAGGATGCAAATATTTCGAATAGGTTTCAACACGTTTGCTGCGTATTCTGGGTTCTGGTGTGCGTTCGGGTGTTGGCTCGGGAGTGTAAACCAAGCCTGGTGGGTAAACCATCTTCGAGGGATGTGTCCAACAACCACTCAAACGTCTACGTCTGAAGTAGTGCTTGCATGAAGCATTGGCATACCAATCTCTAAAGTCATTGTAATAGTTTCTCAAACGATCGGTGCTGATGCGATATTCTTCATCAGAAGCACGTCTATCTAACATAAAGAACCAAGGATGTCTCAAGGCTGTCTTTACATCCATACGTTCTTCGGGGCTGTAAACCAAAAGGCGTTTAATGAAATCGCGACCTTCATCGGTGATATGAGTCCAAATGGAATCGCTGAAGTCCCAATGACCCTCCTTAATTCTTTGTAAAGTTTCGCGATCATTAGCACCACGGAATGGATTGTGACCGGAAAGTAAAACATAAGTGATAACACCAACACTCCACATATCGTGAGCAAAACCAACACCCTCCTTGTTGACCACTTCGGGAGAGACATATTCAGGCATACCATAGTCGAGGGTAGTCAAGGCATGAGTATGAATGCGGCGTGTCAAACCGAAATCGGAGATTTTCAAGAAATCACCACCCACAACAGAAATCAAAAGATCTTTGATCTAAAAAATTAACATACTTAAAAATTGTCTCTACTAATTTAAACAATATTCCACAAACTTACCGTCAAACCCATATGACCCAAACCGGCATCGTGCATATGTTCCAAACCCCACAACACTTGTCTTACATAGGAAGCAATATCACGTTCTCTGAAGTAATCTCTCTTCAATAAATTATCCCTGACCAATTCACCACCAGCGGCCAATTCCAAAATTAAAGTAACATTACGATCAGTTTCATAGGCATCATGCAAACGTATGAGGTTTCTGTGGTTCATGATGTTCATCATTTCCATTTCATTGAGCATGAAAGGTCTAATCTCTGGCTTGCCATACATAACCTTGCCAGCATAACTGTAGCCGGTGGCCCTTTCCACAGCATGATAAGTAATGCCCTGAGTACCACGACCCAATTCATCACCGAAATCATATTTGTCTTCGCAACGGAATTGCTTAGTACGCACATATGGATGTCTGCCATAGGTATTGAATATATATTGATCTTCATTATCTTCAATATGGACCATGACCGAGGAACTAACCGAACCGGCTACATTACGGGCACTAATCGAATAGAGACCGGCATCCTTAATGATGGTATCACTGAGTGACAAAATGTAAATATTGGGTTCAATATGACGCATCTTAATGCGGGTGGTATCAGCCAAAGGTTGCCAGTCCTTATACCAGCGAATTTCTGGCATGGGAACGCCTACAACATGAGCCTCAATACGACCATTCTTGCGGGCCATGATGAAGGTTTCATCGGGACGTTTAGTAAAGCGTGGATATTCAGCGATT